AAAAAAACCCTAGGAAGTTTTATTATTGTGCATTTAATATCAAGTACTAATGTATTTGTAATTCATTTCTTAATGAATTTTGTCTCTATTATTTCATAATTCTAAAGTTTTAAAAAGTATTCTATGTTAACTTCTTTTTATTCCTTGAACAAAACAAAAAAACAATTCTAATGAATAATTGTTTGATTTTATTTAATTTAGACTTATTAATTAATTTAATGAGTAAATTGCTAACTTGTGATTAATTTTATATTTCTTAATGATTAAAATAAATAATTTTTAAAGATTTTTATTTGTTTGTTCATATAAATTCACTTTCAATCATTAATATTATTTTACGTTAATGCTATTACCACTGTTTCACGACACTTATGTTTAAACCAGAAAAATATTTTCAAACTAAAATACAGTTTATGTTCTAATAAAAAATGGCATTGATGTATATTATTATTTTATTTTTACATAAGTTACATAATTTGTAATCTCCAATGTGTTGTTGAATTTTGGTAAAAAATTAATAGGATGTAACATTTGCCAGAGCACCGTGTATAAAAATATTTTGTAATATTCATGAATTCAACTAATTTGTTACCTTTTATTCAATTTATTCACTATTTTATTATTTTCTTCTTTTCCAGATCAATTGGTTCTCCAGTATTAAAATAAAATGGCCAGTGCTGAATATATAAAGGTAAGCTTACATGTTTGAGCATAATATTCTTATATAATTTTGATTATATTCATGAAAAATGCTATGAACTACTTATAGATTTTGATTGTAGAATGTACGGTTTTTATTTATTGAAAATTGTAGGAATTTTTAATAATAAATATGATAATTGTAATATTTTTAACTATAAATATATACTTTTTTTTTATAAATTTTTATAATGATTTCCAAATGTGATGTGCTTATTTTTCTTCACGTTTTTGGTTTAATAATCACATTCTGCTTTATTAACACATTCGTACTCCTCATTTACTAAATCTTCTATTAACAAAAAAAGTATTCGAACTCATTTTTGTTTAATCTATTTTATCTTTCAGGTTTTAACGCGGGCACGAAATGCATTTAAAGGTGGAGTTACTAAAAATGTTGCTTTTCGTATTCAACAGTTGAAAAACATGTACAGAATGTTAGAAGAAAATG